TTATTCTGGAGTTGTATTCCATTACATGAAGATACCAATTCATCCAGTCACCTACTGAACCTACTGAAGGATGATTATTAACATTTTTGACATGGATAAGCCTGCTACAAGCACTCATATGCAAGTTTTAACACACAGGTTTTTCTGTGAACACAAGTCTTTAGTTCACTTGGGCACATACCAAGGAGAGGCATTGCTGGATTGTGTAAGTGTACTTTAAATATTATCTGTTGTGTGTATATGCCCTGGCAGTGCATGGAGGTCAGAGAATAAGCTGTGGAAGTCAGTTCCTCCTTTCTATTATGTGGCTTCTGGGAATTAAGCTCGGGTTGTCAGGTTTAGCGTGTTTACCTGCTATGCCATCTCATACATCATCAGATACATTTACTTTTTAAACAAACTGCCAGGCTTTTCCAAAGTACATATATTCTGCATGTTCATTAGTAACTTTAAGGAGGATTTATTTTGGATTCAGGTTTCAGGCAGTCCAATCTGGGTATGGGGCATCTTGGCAGGAGTGGTTTCAGTGGAATCTTGCTGCCTAACTTATTCATACATTGATTACAAAGTAGAGTTTGGTCTGACTAAGGAAAGGCTATAACCTTCAAAGGCCTTCCCCTAGTGTCCTCCTTCTACCAATCAGCCTTCAACTTTAAAGGTTGTCTTGAAATAGCACTGTCAGATAGTCAGATAGTATCAGAGCGCAAAACTAGACACATTTGTTAGCCACAAGAGGCCAGGCAGTGGTGGTATACACCTTCAATCCCAGAAGTCACACTAGCTAGCCATAGAGGTCAGGCAATGGTGGTACAAACGTTTAATCCCAGTCCTCAGGAGACAGAGGTAGACAGATCTGTTAGTTCAAGGCCACCCTGGGTCTTTTAGACCCAGTCTAAAAGAGAAATAGTGATGGGAGATGGCATTCTGCAAATATGTTTCTCTTATTGGTCAATGAATAAAGTCCCATTGGCCAATAGGAAAGCATGATAGGCGGGACTAGAAGACAAAGAGAAGTCTGGGAGATGTAGTAGAAGATTCAAGATGTAGGGACTAGAGAGAAGAGATCCGGACCCTCTCTCTGGTAAGATAAGACCACATGGAAACACTTAGAGTGATAGAAATGGGTTAACATTTAAGATAGAGCTAGCCAACAGGAAACGCTAGTAACAGGCCAACAGCTTTATATCTAATATAGCATCTCTGTATTATTTGGAGCTGACGAAGCTCTGGGACCAGGCTGGCAGGGAAAGTGCAAGTAACAAAATAGAGTTTACACAAAGGTGATCCCAGTACTTGGGATCCCACGCATTTAATCCCAGCACTAGAGAGGCATATAAGGAGGGAGAAAGTAAGAGCTCAGGACAGTTTGAGGAGCAGTACAGTCTGAGGTTTGGTGGAAACAGATGCAGTCTAAAGATGCAGTATTAGAATCACCTCTTCGGTCTGAGCATTGGTAGAGGTGAGAACTTGCTAGTGGCTGGCTGCTCTCTCTCTCTTTTGTTTTTTTTTTTTTTTTGGAGACAGGGTTTCTCTGCATAGCTTTGGAGTCTGTCCTGGAAGTCATTCTGTAGACCAGACAGGCCTCAAACTCAGAGATCCACCTTCCTCTGCCTCCCAGGTGCTGGGATTAAAGGTGTGTGTCACTACTGTCTGGCCAGAATTTTTTTTATTAGGGTGAAAAGGGAGATGTGTGTGGGTGAAATATCTTAAGTGGTCACTGTGCCCTTCTTCAGCCATCACAGTGATGGGCATTCTCAGGATTCTTCCCACCCTTTGAGAGTATACGATATAGTTCATGGAAAAGCCTGCAAGGGAGGCAGTGTTTCTACCCTATGGCTAGGGGTTCCAAACTCATTCTAGTCCACACATGGCACTTACAAGTTTATTGACTATTTTGGTTAACTGTTATTTTCAGTTTATATGACCTGGCTATGCCTGTCACAGGCAAGAGAATACCCTCAACAAAGTCTTAACCCTTTTCAGGTGTCTGTCTTACCTAGAGTTTCAGTAACCTGATTGCTTTGAAACCTTGATTCTTTTAGATCAAAAGTTCTGCACTTTCCCCCAATTTTAAGCTTGGGAGTGATGCTCTTTTGAGTTCTGTATATCTCTGAGATAGAACTAGGAATTTCTATCTACTATTTCAAGCATAGCTGTAGAAATTTTATTTCATACCTCTATTTCCTTATTTTGACCTTACTTCCCTCTTGTTTGTTGAAGATAGTTATAATTGACTCTATCCTGTTTCTTGGTTTTCTTCTGCTATTGATCATATGTTCTGCTTCTCTTTTAAAAAAGGTTTCAATTTTTTTATGTGTATGTGTGTTGTTTTCTAAATAAGTATCTTTCTATTTTATCAATGATGACTCTGAAGCCAGATGCTAGAGTTAAAACCTGCTAGCTCAGAGAGGCAGAGAAGCACCCAGCTCCCAGCTGCTTCCTCCTCCACCGTTCCAGAACGAGCTTTTTCCTACACCTTCTCAAACAAAACTCCTTTAACTGAGTGACCTGCTCTTCTACTTCCTCTGCATCTCTATCAGTCCTCCTCACTCCTTTTTTTTTTTCTATTTTTTTTTACCTGCCAACTAGTTGCTTGTTCTGCTTCTTGATCTATGGTTGATTTTTATTTAATCCTCTTTACAACATTAAAGAAGAACGTTTTTGGATTAAAGGTGTGTGCTAGGGCTGAGCCACACCACAGCTAGAAACAGGTTTCTCCAGTAAATAATGCAAGCTCAGAGTTCACGGTGTGATCAAATATCCTGCAACATGTGTGTGGGTCCAGGAAAGGGTGTCAGATTCCCTGGAGCTGGAGTTATGGGTGGTGGTGAGCTGCCTGACATGGGTACGAGGAACTGAGCACTGGTCCTCTGCAAATGCAGTATATGCTTTTTAACCACTGACCCATCTCTCTAGCTCCTTGTTTAGCTTCTTCACTAATCATTTTACATTGAAGGCATGACTTTGTGGATTTTGAGTAGGTATCCATCCTTGTCCACATATATTATGCAGAAGCATTCTTCTCATATATCAACCACAGCAACCAAAATTGGGAAATTAACTCATATTCCGTGTCTCTAATCTTCACAAGTTGTACCCTCTAATACACCTTTTCTGGGAGAGCTGCTTTAGAGTCATGTGCTCCACTTGGTTGGCATGACTCTTCTTGGAACTCTACCTCAGTTTTCCCCTGACCTTCATAAATTTGAAGCTTTTGAAGATTAGAAACCTGCATAGATCTTTCAGTAGAACTTTGTCATGGTTTCTCAACTACTGACTCAGGTAGACACCTTTAATGAAATTACCGTGAAAGACATACTACATTCTATAGGTACACATCATTTTTATTTATTCATGATGGAAGTGTTTATTCAATTCAGGTGAAGTTTTCTGAGATTTTCCAAATAGAAATTATTCTTTTAGAGTACAGAATTCAAAAGGCAAGTTTTGGGTGCTAGGAGAACTTATTATTTTTGGGCTGATCTCTATGCTCTCAGGTAGACAGAAGTAGGATTCCCATGTGTACACAAACAAGAGAGGGAGGGATATAGGGAAGGAGAGAAAGACAGAGACTGACTTACAAAACCATCTCCCACAAAGGCATGTTGTCTCCAAGGCCACTAGGTACTCACTGAGGGGTAGGAAGCCTTCTTGGCTTATATGAGCCTATATGAGCCATCATATCTCATAATAGCTCTGAGAGTCCACTTTTACATTTAGGTAGTAAATAGGAGAACATAAAGGGATGGATCCTGCTAGCTGTTGAAGGACTGGCTGTTCATTACTCTGAAGTCAGAAACAAAGCACCTTTCAGAGATCATTTTCAACATAAGCAATATAGTTTGTTATCCCAACTGACACTGAACCTTCGACAGGTTTCTATAGCAAGTTAGAGTTGGCCAGAAGTACTATGTAGTGATGAGGAAAAGGGAGATTTTAAATCTGTACACTGTAAATGATCAAATCTCTAAATATTAGATGATCATATTTTAATGTTTTTCTGGTGAATGTTTAAGTAAAAAAAAAGTTTATAGAGTTTCCTGTCTAGAATTTCTGTTTTAGGTGGCTCATAATTGAGATACATGTCTTTTTTCATATGTAATATGGTTATAAAATATTATAAGGTAATCTTATCATTGTGGCTCTCTTCTAAACGTCTTTCTTAAGATCACCACTTTAGTCATCTTGAAAAAACTGAGCTGGGCATTCCATCTTGCACAGCACAATTAGTGAAAAGTAACAAGAGGTTCGGGCAGTTTACATATGAATTCATTAATGTGCTTTCTGACAGAAATCTAGTTATTCAGTGAGCCTCCTTGACAGGCTTACTTTATTGAGCAATGACTTCAATGAAAGCGATTTTCTTAAAAAATAGTTTTTTGTTTCTTAAATAAACATTATTTATACATTGTATATAATACCACGAATGTTTATCTTCTCCAACATGTTATGAGGAAAAATTTTAATGAAACAAAGGTTGAATTTTATAGGAAGCATTCTTTCAGCCCCCATGACCTCCCATGAATGTCGATTAATACTTGCCTCTCTGTGTCTGGAATGCTCACAGAGCAGTAACCAGCCTCCATCTTGGCCTCGCCAGGAGCCCACCTGAGCTGCCTCTTGGCCTTCCCAGCTCAATTGTGCCCCAAACCTCCCCTTCTAAGGCGTCAGTCAGGCCTGGGCACTTCCTGGGATGCTCGGGAAGTCGGTCTGGTCTGTGAGGCTATGGTACCTGTCCAGCTCCTTTCCCTACCCTCCACACGGTTCAGTCTCAGGCGGGCGTGCTAACGCGAGTGCGCGTGCGCGAATGCGGCGTTCCCGCGCACCGTGCCCGGTCGCGAGGAAGCCGGACCCGGCCGTTACTGCCGCCCGCCGCGCTTCAGTTCCACATACGACGGCGGGCGGGCCGTCGCAAAGCGCAGAGTCGACTGCTGCAAGGCGACTATGGCAGCCTCCGGTTTGCCTTACGGCGTACGGCCGTCCACATTCCCGACGCTTTGATCCTCGGCCTTCTCGCGCGGCGGAAGCCGTCTCGGTGCGCCAGTCCTCCTAGCGCGCGCCGCCGGGCACTGCAAGGCGGTCGGGCTCCAGGGATCGCGGGCGCCCGCCCGCAGCCGGCCAGCTCTTCCGCCCGCCTTCCTCCCGGCGTGCACCGCGGCGCGGCCATGTTGCCGTAGTGTTGTTTTCTTCCTGCGGAGGCGAGGGGCCGCTGCGCACCCGGACGCGCGGGCCTCGCCTCTGCTCGCTCGCGGGCGCCGGCCCTCGCCGCTCCCCCGCCTCCCCGGCCCGCACCAGCGCCGTCGGCCCGCCAGAGGCTCGGGGAACGGCTGAAGGCCGGGCCCGGGGACCACCATGGCGGCCGCCCTGGGCGCGGGCGGAGGAGCAGGCGCTGGAGGTACGTGGGTCGCGGCTGGCGCCGAGGGCCGGGCAGCCTTTGTGTAGGGCCTTCGGGTCGTTCCGTCACAGCCGGGGCCGTCCTGGCCCTGCCTGTGCCGATCAGGCTCGGAGCGCAGGGCGTTAGGCCCGAGGCGGCGTCGCGAGGTCGGCGGCTGGCCCGCGACGGGCTTAGGGGGTCGGGCGGCCTCCCTGTAAGCTTGCCTGTGGGCAGCGGCAAGCAGCCCATTCATAATGCAGGAGAAATTTCGCGGCTTATTAGAGTGCTTTAAATAAACCCATTATCACCTGAGGAAAACCTGTGAGTGTTTGGCTGTGTGCTTGAAAGGGATGACGACAGGGTACAAAGGTTTAGTCAGGGAACCAGTTCCTTGGATATTTTCGTTTTGCATTCGAAAACGGTATGGGGAGACTAACCAGTTTTAAGTAAAACCACATATTATTGAATGAGCGTGCTTTGGAAAAATGTAACGCGGTACTTAAAAATGACGTTTCAGGACTTGGATAAAAAGGAGACCCTTGGACAACAAAAGCATTTGCCACCAGCTTGCTATAGACACTTAAACTAGTCTGCATATTCCAGAGGTGTTTTCTGATGCTTCCAGATGGGCGGGCATATTAAAATAACGCTGTTTAAGGATTCTGTCCCAAATACCAAAATATTTATTTGTATGATGAAGGAAATGGCAGACGCTAACTGCCAGAATGTCGTTTCAGGCAGGATGTTGTATGGTGTATGCCGTTGCCAGCTTAAACATTTTTTTTTTTTTTTAAACACAACGAATCTAAAGCTTTCTAGTTAAATGTTTAAAATAATTTTATCTGCCATACTTGATTAGAGAAGGTAAAAGTTAAACTTTTATATGGAAGGCCCAGTGTTACGGAAACCCTTAGGTCAAAGTTGTTTTTAATCAAAGATGAGGATCTTATTTTAGTTTTCCATGTGTTTTTCACTAGTGTGTATTGAGGTATTCCAGAGGCTTTCTGGCATATGAAGACCATGGCACTAATGGCTTAGGGACTGTTTGCATGTATGTTTTTTTAAATGTCTCATTAAATTTTTTTTAAAATAGTAAATACTGGTAGATAGCCACATAAACGTTTGGGAACTATATATAAATTTGTAGGTTAGAAAGATTAAGGGTTGTAGTCTTAGAGGGTTAGATAGATAGATTATTCTGGAAGTTTGGAATTTTTTTCATTTTGTATCCGTGCCAGCATTTACATTGCTTAAACTCAACCCAAACAGTTGTGTATGAGTTGGTCTCTGCTACTCTCCAGACCTGTAGTCCTGGAACTGCTTGCGTTCCTCACTCCCATGTGCACCTCACTGTTCCTGCCCCTTTGAATCTCCTGATTCAGCAGGTTCAGGCTCCTAAGGGAGGGGCCTTACCAGAGGAGTTATTGGCTTATATGTTTCCCATCCCTGTGCCTTCCTCTCCATCCAGTAGCACTCCTGCTTTCCCCTGAACATTTATTGTAGTCTATAATTTTACTTTTTCCATTATTTGGCCTTTTGAGTAAGCTCTATCTAAGACCTATGAGAACAAGCATGTCTGCCGGCATTGCCATGCACCCCAAGTTCCTGGCCCATGCATGTGTTCAACAAATACTTGACAAATAAATTAGAGATTGAAATGTTTCCTTAGTAAACTTGGGAGAAAAAAAAACTGTGTCCTTATTTTTGTCCATCAGATCCATATGTTTGCTATATAACCCACAAAATCATTACATTAGAGATATTTACGTTTTAGGTAATACCTCCTTTATTATCTACATTGCTTACTTGATACCTCAGTTTACCATATTTAGCACAGTGGCTTTCAGATTTTTTATAGTTACAGCTTACATTGACATTGTGATATAGTACTTGCAAATAATTTCATGGCTAGTTTTAGTGGGTATTATGTACCAAGCTCTCAGATTTTTGTTTCATTACATTAAAAGGCTGTTGTGTATCTGGTATGGGCTTGCATTCCTGGCACTTGGGAAATCAAGTTTGAGGACACCCTGGGTTGCACAGTGAGAGCCTGTCTTTACCCTCTCCCTCAACAAAACCTGGTTGTGGCTTAATCTAACTTCATTATTAAACTCAATCCATTAAATATCCCTGAATTGTCAGTTTAAAATCATGTCATGTATTGTAAGTGGTTGATGTTTTGAGGACTCAGGTGGTGGGGTGGTGTTGATGTTGGTATTTTCCAAGTCTAGAAAGGAGCCAGAAACTAATAGAATCTTTAGGTATCTAAAATAACCACAGAAGTGCAATTATATGTCAGTGTGAGACTTAGAGGAATGCAGCATGCTCTTAAGTTTAGATGGTGGTTTTGTAAAGATATTTGCTGTTTCAAGTAAGGGTGGGAGAAGCTTGAGGGCCTTGCTGGTAAAGAGAATGTTGTACATTGAAGATTAGCATAAATGCAGTAGGCCTTTAAGGACATACTATACTGTAGAGCAAATAATTTCAAAATCTAGTGCTTGCTTTGTAGTACAAAATGCAAAATCAAAATGAAAAGTCAGAACATAAATTTTAGCAAAAAACCTCCAAGCTGATTTATGTGTTAAAACCTAACAGTTCATAAAACAGTTCATTAACTGGGTTAGGATGAGTGCCTTGTTTAAAGTTATACTTGAGATTGTTTCTTGGGTGAATCTTACTGAAAAAAAAAAAAAAGATTGAATTAAGAATTTTTAGATATACCTATTAGAATAATAAGGCCAGTGTCTACCATTTATCAACATTTTGTTGTCTCTTGACTCAGACAACCTTTTAATTGTTTTGTTGAGGCAGTATCTCTTTGTAGCCCTGGTTGTGCTAAACTCACTATATAGAGCAGGCTGACCTTAAACTCAGAGATCTGTCTGCCTCTGCCTTTAAATGCTGGGAGTAGAGGGGTATACCACTACACACAGCTCAATTTATGACTTCCTGTGTCCCAGTACCAAATATGACTCAAAACGAAGTTTATGGTTATCAAGATGGATTATTGGGCAAAGGCACTTGATGCCAACCCTGACAACGTGAGTCCCATCCCTAGAACTCACTTGGTGGAAGGAGAGAAGTAACTCCAAGTTGTTCTGTGACCTCCTTGTGTGTGGTGGCATGCACCCACAATAAAGAAGTAAACTTTAAAAATGAATTTAAGCATCTTACCTCTGAAACAGTCTAGCTAATTGTAAATGTGCTCATCAAGCAGTATTGATAGTGAATGTTGTTAGCCAGAGAGATGCTGAGAATTCATAGTTTCTGATCACTCTCCCTTTGGGCAGGAAGTCTGGAATACATTAATTTCTGTGTGTTGATTGTTAGGTGGTGTGTGATAGCTTAATCTTCAACATTTTTTAAACCTTTTTTTAAGATTAATTTTTATTTTATATGTAGGGATGTTTTGCTTGCATTTGTGAGGAGTTTAGAAGCCCTAGTCTTCAGACTCCCAAGAACTGGAGTTGAGACAGATGGTTGAGAGCTACCTTTTAAGTGCTGGCAACTGAACCCGGGTCTTCTGGAAGAGCAACCCTTAACTACTGAGCCATCTCTTTAGCTCCCCTTTTAAAATCTTAGCTTCATCAGAAAGAAATTGGGGAGTGGAGAGGACTCTAGTGTTCTTTATGTGTAGGCCTGCAAGTGAAAAAGGCTCTTCAGATTTGTTTCTCTGACATAAACTTTGGAAATTTGTAGGTCCCCCCTTCCTCCTCCTTGAGACAGCATATTGTGTAGCTCTGGCTCTTGAATTCAGAGGTCTGCCTGCTTCTGCCTTCCAGGTGATGGGATTAAAAGTGTGTGTGTCACCATGCCTAGCAATTTTTAAGATTGATCTTCTAATTATGTGTGTGCATGTAACTGTAGGTGCCCATGAAGGCCAGAGGTGTTGAATTCCCCCTGGAGCATGACTTACAAGTGGTCATAAGCTGCCCATTGTGGGTGCTGAGAATCAAATTCCATTTCTGTAAGAGCAATAAATTCTTAACTGCTAAGCCATCTCTTCAGCCCTTCCAGTCTAATTAATTTTTTGAAGGATAGTTTATCAGATGCAGAATATTTGGCCTTACAGTCTTTAACTTTTCTTTCAGAATGTTAAGTAGTTCATCTTATTGCATTCTGGGCTCTTTGGTTTCTCATTGGAAATTGACTTAAATATAGTTAAAGATCCATTCATTGTATGTGAGGAGTCACTTCTTGAGGATTTCAGAACCTTTGGCCTTGAGAGAGTTTATTCTTATATCCTAGGGTGTGTAGGCTCATATCTTTTGTCAGAAGTGGAAATTTGGGGCCATTCCTTCAGATCTCTCTCACCTTGTCTTCTCTCACTTTTCAGTGCATGTTGTTAGGTTCTCTTAGTCTTTGTTCAGTTTTTATTATTATTTTTTTCCTTTAGCTACTTAGACTGTATAATTTCAGTACTTCTTTATGACTCAATTTTGGGACTGAAAACAGGTGATTTTGAATGTTCTGATATAGTTAATTGGGGGAATTTTTAGGATATATCTACTCCCCTGGTGATTTGTTTGGTTTTTAAATAACTTCTCTGAACTGATTTCACAGAGACTGCTCTTTTTTGTGTAATTACTTAAGTTTCCACCTGTCATCTTAGTGCTCAGCCATCAAATTGATGTATACTTTTACATTCCCGGAACCACAAAATAACATTAAAAAGCACATCCAGCTTTTGTAAATTGGCTGTAGCTGAAAAACTTCAGTGTTCATTAGGCCATCTATTACTCTGCCTTATTCTACCTCCTGCTTACCCAGAGCCCAATCAGCAGTCAGAGATGTAAGTCTGGGTTCGATCAGGTGTTTTTTGAGTGTTATCTAGACCTGGACATACATGAGGAATCAATCCTAATTCCCAGTGCTCTTCAAAACCTCTCATCCTCAGCCTCTTCTTTTCCAGGCTTTTTGGTGGATGGATAGTTTCTTTTGTCTACAGTTGGTCATAGTTGTTTTGGGCTACTACTTCCTAGATTGCTACTTTAGCTCTGTGCTCCAAGAGGGTACAACAA